CAAGGTCTGAGCCTCTGTAGCACGCCTTCCTGCCTGAAGCCATGCCAGTGCTGGGTCCTGACCCCAGCATCAGAGTCACAATTATGTCCTTAAGCTACTGGAAAGTTCCTCAGAGTCACAGTCTTGGCTCTGTGGGAGAATTGCATCCACTCATGCCTTAAAGAGTGAGCCTGTATCCATATCACAGCAGTCTCAGTAGATCAACAAGACACCGAACCCTGGACCTGAGCTCCACAGCCACTTCAAGCACCTAAGGCCTGGAACAGTGCTGCCTTAGCTAAGTGTGCATCTTATCAGGTTCATCACAAAGACAGAGTCCTTCGGCTAAGTCTCTTTCCATTGTGGAAAAACCTTGCCACCAGAGTTGTCACAAAATTCTGGACCCTAGGCTGCTGGGGCTTTCACATCATTGGAGACATTGATTAAAAAGTTGCACCAAGGCTACACTATTCCAGAGCACACACACCACCCAACAACAAACTCCCTGGGGCCCAAGTGCAGCTGAAATTCATTCCCTATGAAAGCCACTCTAAAACTGGAAGAGACAACTGTTTCACCAGATGTGCAGAAGTCATTACAGGAACACAAGAAACATGAAAGGAAAGAAGCATGACAGTTTTATAGCAGTGTAAGCAGACTAAGATCCATCCTGTTTTTAAAGAAATAAAATAACTGACCCCAAAGGAATGGAATTTATGAATTGCCTGATAAATCAAAATAATGATTTTGAGGTAACTCAGCAAGGTACAAGAGAATACAGAAACAATTCAATGAAATCAAGAAAACAATTAATGATCTGGATGAGACATTTGACAGAGATACATATCATTTTAAAAAATCTTTGAGGGCTGAGCCACTTGCCTGGCGTGCGTGAGACCCTGGGTTTGATCCTTAGCGTCACATATAAATAAATAAATTAAATTAAAGATCCCTTGACAATTAAAAAATATTTTTAAAAAATCTTTGAGCTGAAGAACTCAATGAATGAAATAAAATATTCAATTGAAACTTCAACAGCAGACTAGATCAAGCAGAAAAAAAAAAAAAAGAATTTACAAACCTGAAGATAGGTCTTTGGAAATAACGTAGTCAGGGGGAAAGAAAAAACAATGAGAAAAGAATGAAGAAATTATTCTATACTTCTTATAGGACACCAATAAGAGAACAAAATTTCACATTATGAGATTGTCAGAGGGAGGAGAAATGGAGAAAAGCACAGATAACTTATTTAACAAAAAAAAAACTGTAGAAGTTTTCTCAGGTTTTAGAAGAGATATGGATGTCTAGAAAAAGAAGGAAACTGTCAACCCAAAGATAAGTTACCTGAAAATACACAATCAGAGGAGGAGAAACAGATCAGAGGAAAATGAAAGATAATGAAGATAGTTTATGGAATTTAAAGGACAGCAACCTAGGAACAAATATTTGAAATACAAGTGGTCCTAAAGGTGATGAGAGAGATAAAGGGCAAATTAGAAATAGTAGCAGAAAACTTTCAGATCTGGGGGAAGATGTAAAATCCAGGTATTGGAATATTCTAGATCACTGATCAAATTCAACCCAAACGAGAATACACTGGGACATATTATAATCAAATTGTCAAAAATCAAAAACAAAAAGAGAGGATTCTGAAGACAGCCAAGACCCATCTTCAGGTTCAGAAATTTCTTCTGCTTGATCTAGTCTGCTATTGAAGCTCTCATATAAGAGAGTTCCAATAAGGCTGGCAAAGGGCTAGAGAAACCTTATAGACCAGGAGAAAACAGGATGGTATCTTAGCCTGTTTATGCTGCTATAACAATATATCTGAGACTGGATACAAATTGATTTTCACCAGAAATTTATTTCTGATAATTCTGGAGGCTGGAAGCCAAGATCATGACATGAGTGTGTTCAGTCTGTGAGTACTGCTCTCTGCTTCCAAGATGGCACTGTGTTGCTGCATCCTTGCATGGAAGAGGACAAAAGGACAGGAAGCACCTTCATCCCATTTACGGGGGAGGTGTTCTCTTGACCAACCTACCTCCTAAATGGGCCACCTTTCAATACTGGTTGCATTAAGTTTCTGCATGAATTTTGGAGAGGAGACAAACATTCAAAACAAACTTCAGACAAAAACTGAGGGAGAATAGATATATGAGGTGATGATATGCCAATTACCCTGATTTGATCATTGACTCTTATAAAAATATCCCACTGTATCTTATTAATACATTTATGTGTCAATTAAAATAAATATAGCAAGGTACAGTGGCTCACACTCACACCTGTGATCCCAGCTTGTTGGGAGGCTGAGTTAGAAGAACTGCACATTTGAGGCCAGCCTGAGCAACTCATGGAGATTCTATCTCAAAATAAAATATAAAAAGGGCAGGGGGTGTTGTTAAATGTTGGAGTGTTTGTCTAGTACATGCAAGGTCCTGATTCAATCCCCAGCACCTCAAAATAAGTAAATAAAAAAATTTAAAAACTGGCAATTTGTTACCATCAGACCTGCCTTACAAGAAATGCTAAAGGAAGTTCTTCAAGCTGGAAGAAAAGAATGCTAACTAGTAACAGAAAAACATAGTGTAAAGCTCACTAGTAATAGTATATACACAGCCAAATTCAGAATACCCAAATACCAAAATGGTGGTATGTGAATCACTTATTTTTTTAATATTTATTTTTTAGTTGTCTTGGGACACAATACTTTTATTTTATTTATTTTTATGTGGTGCTGAGGATTGAACTCAGGGCTTTGCACGTGCTAGGCACCCACTCACCACTGAGCCACAACCCTAGCCCTGCAAATCATTTATATCTTTAGTAAGAAGGTTACAAGACAAAATATTAAAATAATAACATATGTAGTAATTTAAGAGATACGCAAAGATATAAATTGACATCAAACACCAATGTGTCTAGGGAGTGAAATAAAAATGTAGTGTTATACAAGCAACATTAAGTTATTTTCATCTTAAAATAGCCTTTTATAACTCAAGATGTTTCAAGTAAGCCTCATGGTAATCACAAAGTAAAAACCTGTAGTAGAAACACAAAATATGAAAAATAAAGAATCAAAGCATGTCATTAAATAAAGTAATACAAAGGAAGATAGAAAAAGAGACAGAAATGAACAAAGGATCTACCAAACAGCCAGAAAATAAACAATAGGCAGTAGCAAGTCCTTATGTATTAATAATTACATTGATTATAAATGGAATAAACTCCCTAATCAAAAGACATGAAGTGGGGGCTGGGGTTATGGCTCAGTAGTAGAGTGCTTGCCTCACGCATGTGATGCCCTGGGTTCAATCCTTAGCACCACGTAAAAATAAATAAACAATAAAGATATTGTGTCCATCTATAAATAAAAAAAAAATTTAAAAAGACAGGAAGTGGCTACAGGTTTTTTTTTTAAATCCAACAATATGCTTCCTATAAAAGATTCTGTTTAGTCCACTTTCTCTTGTCATAACAAAATACTTGAGACTGGGTAATTTATAAAGAAATGAGGTTTATTTAGCTCACCGTTCTCCAGGCTGTGAAGTTTAAGATCAGATGTCTGTATCTGATGAGGTCTCCTGTGGTATAACAACATGGCAAGAAGAAAAAGCAGAAGGGTAAGCCAACATGTATAGAAGACAGAAAGAGGGTCTGAGTTCCCAGAATAGCTGTTTCCTATTTTAAAAAATTATTCCACTGATGAGAGGTCTGTCCACATAACACAAACACCTCCCACCACACCCCACCTCCCAACAGTGCCTCAGTGAGAAATTAAGCCTCAACATAAATTTTGGTGGGGCAAACCATATTCAAACCATAGCAAACTAACTTTACCTTTAATGTAGTTTGAAAGTGAAAAGATGGAAAAGATACTCCATGGAAATGGAAATGAAAGAGCAGAAACAGCTATTCCTCTATCAGATATCAAAACTGTAAGTCAAAAACTGTAAAACCAGCCAGGAATATTGGGCATCCCTGTAATCCCAGTGACTCAGGAGGGCTGAGGCAGGAGGCTTAAAAGTTCAAAGCCAGCCCCAGCGATTTAGCACGACCCTGTCTCAAAATGAAAAACAAAACAGGCTAGGGATGTGGCTCAGTGGCTAAGTACCCCTGAGTTCAATCCCAGGTACCAAAAACAAAACTAAACTAAATTCAAATTAGACCAAGAAAATAATTATATAATGATAAGTGGATAAATTCATATAGAAGATATAACAATTATAGGTCTATGGTACATCTGACATCAAAGCAACTAAATATGTAAAGCAAAATCAATAGTTCTGAAGAGGGAGGGATGGATGGACAAAGAAGAAGAAAGAGAAGAAGAAAGAATTCATCAATAGATGAACAGATAAAATGTGGATTTTCAATGAATGAACAGAGAAAGAAAATGTGGATTATATCCACTATAGAACATTATTCAGCCTTAAAAAAAAAGAAAGACATCCTATCATTTGCAGCACAGTGGACAAACCTGGAGGACATCATCTTACGTGACACCAAATGACAATTGCCACATAATACTGCTTATATATGGAGTGTTAAAATATCAAATTCATAGAAACAGGGTAAAATAGTTTTTACTAGATGCTAGGAGGTGGTGGGACCAGGGAGATGTTGTCAAGGGACAAAAAGTTTCAGTTTGACAGGAGGAATAAGTTCAGAAGATGTACTATACTTCATGGTAATGACAGGAGCAATATATTCTATATTTGAACATTGCTAGAAAAGTATATTTTAAGTGTTATCACCATTAAAAAATACATAAGGTAACATATGTTAAGTGGCTGGATTTTGCCATTCTGGAATGCACATGTATCAAAACATTATGTTGTTTATATAAATTTATATAATTGTTATCGAAAGACTTGGTTATAGGGTTGGGGTTGTGGCTCAGTGGTGGAGTGCTTGCCTCGCATGTGTGAGACCTGGGGATCGATCTTCAGCACCATATAAAAAATAAATAAAAATATATTAAAGACTTGGCTATAATTCGATGTACTAGTCTCTTTTCTGAAAGATTTTATTTTGAAAAAACCATGCCACACCAATTTAAATTTCTTAAAATGAGATCTCAACAACATAGATTACATCAAAGCACTACAAACATCTTGTATCCTTGCTAGGTATGATTAAAGATTCAGAGAAACTACATAAAACAAGGGAAAAGAGGGCTGCTTTCTATAACAGGAAAAAAGCATTTTAAAACCGACAGACTTACAAGAAAAGCAAAGACATCTTAATCATTGAGATACATATCATTATTTTTTATGGTCCCCATGTGAAAATGCTTAATGCTGTCAAGGTATGTCAGAAGTTTGCAGGAAATGAGCCCATAGTAAGTCTCAAACAGTGAGCATTCTTTCCCATCATTAATTTCCATCCACGCCAGGGATATTTCAGCATCTTTAGTGTCAGAGGATGTAAAAATGAACTTATAGCAACATCTGTTGTATCTGATGTGTCTTTTTCCAGAAAATCTTGAACTGTGGATGGGTATAAGTCCAACGATCTTAGCACAAATCCCTACAAACACATCAGCAGGCACCGTAATGGGTACTTCTTTGAAAATCACATATATCATCTGAGCCACATCTTGGGACATCACAAAAGCTTCACCACTGCAGTAATCTGGGTAGTATTTTTGTGAATACTCACTAAGAGGAACAAAGTTTTGGCTACCAGGGTCTCTGTTGGGTGTATCCTGATGGACAACTTTTCCTACATAGATATTTTCAAGGTGTTCCTTTAGATTGAGAAGATAATCTACCAAGCTTGGCAGATTGACAAACATCTCTTCATCAACTTTGAGAATGAATAGGGCATTAGAGCAGAATGTCACAGCCCACTGGGTCATTGTGATGATCTTCAGGGTTTGGTTCTCAAAACTGTCCAAGAAGATTCCTTCGATTATATCATTCATTATTCTTATGGGATTCTTTGTCTATCTCTCTCTGAGTGGTTACCGTAACAGGCATTCCCAAAGCAAACAGTGTGAGAATGGGGTGCCCTTGGACACTGCTCACATTACCCCAGGTTTTTCTGATGAGTTCCCGTCTTGTTCCATTTCCTGGGCTACTGAAGACAAGAGAGAGCAAAAAAATGTTCTTCCCCTTGCAGATATCCGACTGGCTCAAGACATAGTATTTGGAAGGATTACTTCTTAGAGGTTCCATATTCAGTTTTCTTGCCTTCTCTTTAATTTCAAGAACTTTCATATCTACATGAGGCAAAGAATGCAGAAAATATTCTTCTACAAAGTCAGCCCCAAAAAGCAAGGCATGAAACAGTATGACATTAAACAGAATGAAGCACCACTGGTGAGTCCAAAGTCTGCAGAATGTCACCTGAATAAGAAAAGGATACATGGTCACTCAAGCTTCATCCCCATTCCTGGTTTGCTACCAGTGAACCCTGTAGGGACTTTTTTCATGGTATTGGGGATTGAATCCAGAGGCACTTCCCTCCTGAGCTACATCCCCAGCCCTTTATTTTATTCTATGTTCAATTTTGAGACAGGGTTGCTAGGTTGTTTAGGGCCTCACTAAGTTGTTGAGGCTGGCCTCCAACTTGCAGTTCTACCTCAGTCTCGAGTTGCTGGGATTACATGTGTTTGCACCGCTGCACCCAGCTCTATGGATTTCTTGAAGCACTTAGCAGTACACCTCTACGATAAGTGTTTATTATTTATCACTATTCTCTGACTGTTCTACTAGATTGTGGTCCCCTGGACAGCTCTCTCTTCTCCAGTGCTCTAAGTCCATGTTAGGCACAAATGAGACACAGAGTGAGATGTCACTTAGTTGTTCTCTTCCTTATTTGGATAAAAGCCTACTTATTAGACCAAGAAGCTGTGTTAGATGCTGGGGATTACAAAGAAGAACCAGACACAGAAATGTGGATATTACATAACAAGTGGCATCATTGTGATTTAAAAAAAAACCTATAGGAAAATATCTGATGTTCTTTTTTGAATGGAAGGACTTGGATCAGTTTCTTCTCTTAATTACAAAGGTCAAGGGCTATTTTTCCATGAAGTGGTTGCTTTTCTTGGCCATCACACAGTAATATTTATCAAACATTTACATTCTTCTACTATGACTTTCCCATTTAATCTAATTCTGAATCAGAGTCTGTTTTGACAGTGTCTCCTAATCCATCTGGTTTCTATCAGGATGGGTAGATTCCCACTATCTGCATGGCACCTCTTCAAAGGTTTAGGATGGACACGTGCCAAACTTACTTCACCTCAGTGAAGGAGATAAAAACTTTCCATCTGAAAGGGAATCTGCAAAATTGTAATATAACTAAGGAACAGTAAAGGAATTAAATCTCTATTCATTGGAGCTTTGACCAACAAAGCTTTCCATAATAATAGTTAGCTCTTACTGAGCACTTGTTGTGTGCCAGACATTGTGCTAAGCTTTTTATGTCTTAACTCATTTAGCCCCAGTAAATAGATAGGTCATTTTAAAAATTAAGCTGAGTATCTGAACAGTTTAGTTATTGCCTCAAGAACACACAATGAGCAAGGGCTTGGGGGTAATACCCATGATCTGAAATCAAATTTGTCAGATTCTAAAACTTACTCTTCATCATTGGAGAATCCTGACTCCTTTCTCTCCTAGCCCATGACCATTAAATAGAAAAACAAAACAAGAAAACAAAAGAAACTTCTAAGAGCATAATCTGAACTCCCTTCCCTTTTCTCAGTGCAGATTTACACATAGAAAAAACTTCAACTTTTTCAGAGCCTATTTTAACAGATATCAAATGTTTCAAAGATCATTGGAAACTTACCTGCATGTTATTTGTGAACAATATTACGGCTGTGGAAGTTACTGAGTCCAGATGCTGTGTGTCCAAATGTATCTCAGGATCACTCCAGTCTAACAGCAACTGCAATAAAGTACTTTGTGTCTCAAACTTTAAGGATAAGGTTTCTTGCCAATCATCCTGAGCTTTTGTCCTAGAATACCTGCTGCCTGCATAGGAGAGTGAGTGCTGATCACATTACGGGTAGAGTAAATCTAGGACAAAGAACAGAAAAAGCAAACCTCTTCAAGTGCTTCCAGTCCTGTGTATCTCATGAAACTGACTCCTTGTCTCATGCTGAGTTCCTGGTAAAAAACTTCAACATCACCTCTCCACAGCATCATTGACCAAGGAGAAATATTGTACAGTGGTTTCTCGAGTGCAACTCAAGAAACTAAACCTTAGGAATAATGCCCACTCCCTGGTATATGCACATATGCTAAAACTGTTTGAAACATTGAGGAATACTTGTCATCCCTACTGGATTCATTTGTGTTTCTTCACCAAGGAAACATCAAATAGTGTGGTCTGGTGAATCTTTTTATTTATTTTTAGCACCGGAGATTGAACCGAGGGACACTTAACCACTGAGCCACATCCCCAGCCCTTTTTTGTATTTTATTTAGAGACAGGGTCTCACTGAGTTACTTAGGGCTTCGTTAAGTTGCTGAGGCTGGCTTTGAACTCACAGTCCTCCTACCTCAGCCTCCCAAGTCTCTGGGATTACAGAGACTCCACCATATCCGGCTCCACCATATCCGGCTGGTCTGGCCAATCTTATTGAGAGAAAGATTCTGAATTGTTGGTATCAGCTGTGCAAGAACTTTGCTAAATCATGTAAAAATTACCTCCCCTAGGAAGTTTATCTCCAAATAAAAAATATCATATAGCTCATTTTAGCCAAAATGAGGAAACTAAACATTTAATGTTTGCTATTTTCTTAGAGCATGTAGGAATTATCCTAAACACCATTTCTACTGGTAAGTTTATTTCAAGAAAAGAAATACCATTCAGCATATTTGCATGTTCCTGTCACAAATGCAGTTGCATTGAGCACTGTGTTCTCTTCCAGGCTGTATTTTATCTTTTTTTTTTTTACTACCTGACACAGGAGTTTCGTAATTATTTGGCTAGGAATAGCTTCTAAAAGTTGGCTGTTTTTGATCAATTATCATGCATTCTTGGAAATTGTTACCACGTGGGAAAATCTAACCTAAAAATTCAAATGAAAGGGAAGTTTTACATATATTAAATTTAATAATTAAATGATTCTTTTAAGTATTTAATTAAATATGAATACCATTTTGCAATTTTCTTTTTCTTTTTTCAAAGTCATAAGTTTTGCTCCTCAATCTTCTCTGGGCTCAAATTTACAGAGTATGGATATTTTGTATGTGAGGGATCCAAACAAGATTATTTCTGGATGGGCTCCATTTGAAATTTTCAGTTTGATTTATCAAACTTCTACCTTAATGGCTTTGAGACTGCTGCAAAGAGATATTGGTGCTTGTTTTTCTTTTCTGACCTCCTTTTCCTAGAGGTTATTCAATTTGTATATCCATCTCTTGCTATATGTCTTTTAATGTTGTCACCAGTCACTGTCTGGCTTACAAGTCTGCAGTGGCTTCCTGTTGTCTACCACATATTGTTGCTCTCTTGTGCCCTGACAGTGAACACCCTACACTTGGCTTTCATCCCACATGATTTTTATTTCCCATGTCTCAAGTACTCTAAATGGTATCAGGATGCTTGGAACTTTGGATATGTGGCTATATAAACTTAAATTAACTACAAATAAATAAATTTAAGAATGTCTTTCCTCAGTTACATTAGGCACTTTTCATGTGTTCAGTAGCTACAAGAGGTTAGTGACTGCTTTATTGAATAGCACCAAGAGAGGACATTTCATTTATTTCTGAGGGTTCTCTTGGACAGTGCTGGTATAAAATGCATGTGAATGTATTTGCGCACATGTGCATGCCTGAGTGTACACCTGGGTGGGGATAACTTGTGCTCTGAAGTGGATTTGAGTTGAAATACAAAAAAAGGTGTTTAGAAGTAGCACTTGGAATAGTTTTAGTTCTTTTCCTTTTATTTTTTTAAAAGAAGAAAAGTTTATTTGGGTCATGGTTTCAGAGATTCAGTCCACGGTTGGACGGCTCCATTGCTCTGGGCCTGAGATGAGGTGGAACATCATGGTGGAAGGACGTGGCAGAGAAAAGCTGCCTGGTTCATGGCAGCCAGGAAGCAGAGAGAACTTGAACTTGAATAAAGAGATAGGGATAGTATAATCCCCAAGGCTTACAGTAGGCCACCCCTCCCTGCCTACAGTGACCACACATTAATCTATTAAAATGATTAATCCACCATGGATTAATCCACTGATTAATTTACAGTTCTCATAATGTAATCATTTCGCCTCTGAACATTACTGCATCGTCTCACATATGAGCTACCAAGGGACAGCTCATATCCTAATCATAACATCCTGGCCCTAGTCCCAAAAAGCTTATGCCCATATCACAATAAAAAATACATCTAGCCCATTTCCAAGAATACCCATAGTCTTATGAGTTCCAGAATTGCCCAAAAATCCAAGTCCAATATCTCACCTGAGACTCAAGTCAAACTCTTGACTGTGAACCTCCGTAGAGATCAAAACCAAGTTACATATGTATAATATATAATGGCACAGAGTAAACATTCCCATTCCAAAAGTGAGAAATAGGGACATAGGAAGAAGAGAAGGGGCCAAAGTAAGACCAAAACCCAGCTGGATAATCAAGTTCCGTGGCTCCATGTCCAGCATCTAGGGTACATGGCATTGTGATGTACTCTCCTAAGGGCTTGTGTAGCTTTGCCCCATGGCCTTGCTGGTTACAGCCCATGTGGCCTCTCTCTTGTTTCTGCTTCATTTATGCAGCTTTCCTCAGCAAATGTTTCAAGTTACTGACATCTCTTAATCTCAGGGGTCTCCACTACAGGTTGGCTTCCTTCTGACATCTTCATACATTGTCCTCTCAGGGGCTGCATGCAGGAATTCTGAACCTGCAACACTTTGCCCAGCCTTCCAGCCCCCTTTCTTTGAATCTCAGTGAAAGCCTCCATTACCCCCTAACTACAGTATCCTGAATTTCTGCAGAACCAGTGCCATATGGATGACACCAAGGTCTGCTTCCATCTTAAGCAGTAGCCAGGCCTCCTGGGATCATACCTAAAGCAGCTTGTGAATGCCTGAGCATGATGAAACAACTTCCTTGGCCCTCCATGCAAGCAGGGTGCCCTCATGGTCTCTGCTCAAATAAATTTTTACTTTTATACCCTTGAGCCTGTGATGGATAGAGTCTTGATAATTCCTGAGATGCCCTCAAGCTATCTTTCTTATCATTTCTGTGCAGATTACTTAGCATCTCTTTAGTGGCTATAAGCTCTTCAATCACCACGACTTTCTTGGCCCTAGTTTTACATTCACTTTTCTGACCAAATTGCAAGTTTTTCAATTTTTTTTTTTGGCCGGGTTGGGGGGTGGGTGGGGGGGTGGGGATTGAAGTCAGGAGCATTTGACCACTGAGCCATATCCTCAGCAAGGCCTCCCCCCTCCATTGCTGAGGCTGACTTTGAACTCTTGATCCTCCTGATTTTTCAAATCTTTTTCCTGTTTTCTGCTCCTGATTATCACAGTAAACTTGATCAAAAGCTGCCATCAATATCCATATCACTGCCTGAATGCTGTGCTGCCTTGAAATTGCCTCTTCCAGATTAACAGGTACATCACCTTTAAATTCAGCCTCACAGAAAGTCTCAGGACATAGGCAAAATGTAGATAATTTCTGTGCCAGAATTTAACATGCATGGTTTCTTAGAACAGCATGGTAGAGGAAAGATGCTCAGTTCATTATAGCCAGCAAACAAAGAGATTTGGTTCTTGACACTAAATATTTGCAAACTTTTCAGCTTCATTCAGTCCTTCAGAGGATGACAGGGTGCTATATTTACTCTTCAAATGAGGAGTAATTACTTCAGTTTGAGTAAACAGTTTAAGCGTTGTAATTCCAATCTATGTAATGTGACTGCCCCCTTGCCAAGCTTTATTTTCTCCATAGGTTTGTCCCATGCCTGCTTGGTTACTTATATCTTCCTGCTTCTACTAGATGTAGGCCTCAGGTGGTCAGGGATTTCTGTGTTTTTTGTACCCTAACCTATCTCCTTGAACAATGTTTGGGTTATAATAGCTGCTCAATGGATTGAATTTGGACACATCTCAACTTAGTCACAGCTGCCTCTCCCCAGTGAATTGAGACTATTAAGAAAAACTGGCTGAGTGCAAGATAAGGCTGAGTAAGGGACATCAAACTCTGGGCAAATCTGGATGTTCCGCAGGAAGCCGAAGATACCGTCGAGCCTCCACTGCACTATAAACTAGGCTGGAGCCCCACGGCGTGCCCCGCCTTCCTGGCTCACCCCTTTCCTTCCCATCACCCCTTTCCTTCCCATCTCCCCTTTCGGGCGGGGCCGGAAGTGCAGCCGCTTCCGCCGGGCGCCGGGGGACAGCGGGACGCGCGGAGATGACGCGAGCAGCACCGGAAGCCGCTCCCCAGTGAGGCTGCGGACCTAGAGCGGCGGCCGCAGGTCCAGGTCTGTGTGCGAGGCGGGGCCCGTCAGGGAGGGGGCTCTCTGCCGCCCATGCCTCTGCTGACCCGCGGTTACTCCGGCTGTTTGTCTTTCTCTCCCTGCAGGCGCCATGGCTGCGGAGCGGACCCGGCCGCTGCGAGGCTCTGGCGGCCCGAGCGCGCCTACTCGGTGTGAGCCCGGCGCGAGGTCCCGGGCCCCGGGGCGCTCGCTCAGGTCAGTGTCGCGCGGAGCATGGCTCCGGGAGCCGGGGACCTGGGAGCTACTAATCAGCTCCGGGATCTGGAGTTCATTTTAGAGATGGGAAAATTAGGTCTGGGAGCTCCTGCCTCCTAGTTTCTCAGTTTCCTAGGTGCTAAATGAGATAACTGAAGTCCCAGGGCTACCAGGAGTTGGAAAGATGAGGAAGTGTGGCGAGGTGATTTATGAACTATAAGCCGTTGTGGTAATATGGGGGACTGCGCCATAATTGTGGGTATGCCATGGAAACAGGTGTGTATGTGGGGTGCCTCTTGGAAAAAAGCAAAGATAATAATATTCTAAGTAATAATGGTAGCTGGCATTTATTGTGTGCTTACAGTGCCCCAGGTTCTATACCAAATGTTTTGTGTGTGTGTGTGTGTGTGTGTGTTTTATCCTGCTTAAATCCTCACAAACCTGAGTTTATGGGTGTGAAATGCTGTTAGTGGCCGCTTGTTTTTACAAGTAAGGAAACTGGACTTGAGGTAGGTGGAATGATTTGCCCAAGGTCACTTGGTAGCAAGTGGAGTTGGAGAGCCCTTATTTATATGAGTAAAAGGAACCTCTCCCTTTCCTCATCTCGCCTCTCTGGAGGCAGCAATATTATTATTTTCTTAAGTTTACAAGATGTTTTACACATGTGTAAGTTTTTAGGCTAATGTACATTTTCAAAGCCCCCCCCCCTCCTTTTTAAAAAGCTGCTTGATAGGAAAAAAGAGGGAAGAGGAAGCCTTCTTCTTAACATATGTCTGGCTTTCATTCTTTACTAGGCCAGGTCCTGATGGAGTAGAAGAAGAGAAAACATTCACACTGTTTTATCTAGAATGTGCTGTCTTTAATAAGGTGTTGGAGTGTAAATTTGGTTTTGCTTGGGAAGGGTGGAAACTGGTCAAGATGTTGAGCTTGATACTTTCTATGCAATTCTGGAAATGCCACTCCATTTCTTAGGCCATAAATTTCTCATTTGTTAGGTAAGGACAATAATATTGACACCCTTTATGAACTTGTGAAGATCAAGTGAGGTAATATGTATGAGCACTACTTCAGTCTTTGAAACCAGTTTAAATAAGAGAGTTGCCTAAGGGAACAGAGAAAATTAATTGCAGATCCAGAGATCAAACCCAGGTCTCAACTCCCAAGTTAGGAATCTTTTCAGCACAATATGTATTTCCTCAGAGCTTTGTGATTGTTAATATTAAAGTCAGAAGGGCAAGTTTAATGTTGAGTTTGAGGTGGGGAAAATAAGTGTTAGACAGCAGGGGATGTGGGTAGGGGAGAGAGGAAAAAGTACCTAGTGAGCAATTTATAGCCTCAACTCAGTAACTACCCTTAATTATAAAATTAAACCCAGGAAGTTTGAGTCCTTAAATTTTTCTTCCAGGTATTAAGAGAAACTTTATGATAAGATAAGGTTGGGAGGGATGTCAGTGGTCATGTCATTCCAGCCTCAGTGCCACAAAAAGGAATCCTTTCCAGATGTTCATAGTAATGAGACTAATAAAAAGTACTATTTGAGTTACCCTAAGTTGGGCACTATGCCATACATCTCCCTGCTTTATTTCTTATTCTCAAAATCCTGAAGTTGAATAGTAATTTGCATTTCACATATGACAGAATTGAAATTTAGAAGTTAGTTGAACATTCCATGATCACATAGGAAGTGGCTGAATCAGTGAAAAATTTGACTCCAGAGCATTTTCATTTATCCCATTCTGCCTTTGTCTGTATCCAGCTGTCCAGATTATTCACAGTAATGGGAAACTCACTACTCTGGAGGTGGTTATTCCATTGTTGGAAAGCTTTGATGATTTAAAAGCTCCTTCTCATGTTGAATTGAAATTCTACTTCCTGAGGTTTCTCCCTGGAGACCTTGTGCTACCAGTACATGATATTCCTAAAGGCACTGTAAAAGAGTTCAGTTTAGACCTATGACCTTAAGGAAGTTCCTTCCAAAGTTAGTTAATTCTTTTAGAAAATTAAAAATCTGTGGCTTGTTAGTTTTGTCTTGTTTGTGGTGCTGAGATAAATTGGTGTTTTTAACAGTACATTCCGCAGAGTTAATGAAACCTACTTTATTTAACAAAAAACAAAAACCTTTATCATAAGAATTGGAGGTGAAGAACTAGAAAATAGCCTCCGTAGGTGTTGAACAGTAATGTAATGTAAGAGCTGGACCAAAAAATTCTTTTCAGGGCTTAGGAGAATATATAAATATGTACATCTTAGACATGACGGGGGCTTTTAAAATAAAGGTGCTCACTGGAAAGTTTATGGGCACATTACTTTGGCCTGTTGTAGGATTGCTCTTAAATATTCATGAATGGTAAGAACCTGATGATGTTTTAATGATTATTTTAGATTTGCCTTGTGGCCATTTAACTCAGAAATGTAAGCAGATGTGTGTCATAGTGTGTATGCATGTGTGGGTAGATGTGGTGAAGGATGTCCCTCCACACTTTAAACAACAACAAAAGAAAAGCATGTGTTTTTAATTGATCATATTAATTAATTAGCTGTTGTGACAATGTGGGGATCCTTCCAAAAAGGATTGTTCTAGAAGGTTGCTAGGATACAGAGGAAGAAGAGGGCTTGTTATCTTGTAATAAGTTGATACAACTTGATGTGAACTATTTTTGGCAACCAAGTTATCTTTTATAAATTAATACATCCTTTAGCTCAAATCCTTCAGCTTTAAGAATATTATCTTGAAGTCCAATCAGTTACAGGAACCAAAACTATTCTATAGCAGATGTGACTGATGTGAACTAATAAGTCACACTGTTTTTTGTCTGAATACATTCTTGCCAAATTTGATATTGGAAATGTGTTTACTCACCTTATATTAAAGTTGGAAGATGAGATCTGGCTTTTTGTGTAGTTGTGATCTAGGTGATTTTTTGGAAAGAAATTTATTTCCTTTTTCAGTTATTATGGACATAAATTTTAAAAATTAAGAGGTCAGTCTTGTAGGAAACTAATCAGATTAAAAGGCTTTTTAAAAAAGTCCTGTGGAGCTGGGCACAGTGGTGCACACCTATAATCCTAGCATCTTGGGAGGCTGAGGCAGGAGGATTCCAAGTTATAAGCTGGCCTAGGTAACAAAGTTGAGACCTGCCCTGAGTTCAAAGTCAGCCTCAGCAATTTAGCGAGGCCCTAAGCAATTCAGTGAGACCCTGTCACAATATAAAAAAGGGCTGGGGATGTGGCTTACTGGGTGAGCGCCCCTGGGTTCAATCCCTGGTATTAAAAAAACAAAAACAAACAAACAAAAAAAAACTGTCACTCATCTAATAGTACATGTCCCAATCTTGGGGATGAGGGTTTTTTTTTTTTTTTTTTTTTTTTTTAAGTTGGTTTGCTCTATTTTCTTGTTCTCTTTCCATTAGTTTAGTACACATTATGAAGAGGGAATTGATGCCTGTTGATACTAATGCAGGATACTTTAAAATTCTTTTGTCCCATTTAGTCTTGGAACAATTTGTCATTCTCCCAAAAGGAAAAATGGTATAATCAGATACAGTCCCCCCAGATCTTGTCACCAGGTTGTGGTTCTTCTGGTTATCACTGACTTAAGACAGACAACTGGGTGTACTGATCTTCAGAGCACTGCCTTCCATTCTGTTCTGCTCTTTTACTAGCTCTGTGAGTATAGGCAAGTAATTTATCTTCTGTGACCTGTAGTTTTCTCATCTGCAAAGTGAAGATGGTGATAAATGTTTGTTTGTTTTAAGCATCAAGATTATTATTTTTTGGGCTGGGGATGTGGCTCAAGCGGTAACATGCTCGTCTGGCATGTGCGGGGCGCTGAGTTCGATCCTCAACACCACATAAAAATAAAATAAAGATGTTGTGTCCACCGAAAACTGAAAAATAAATAAATAAATAAAAAAGATTATTATTTTTTGTTTTTGTGTTTTTGAGATGGGGGAGGGCAGGTCTCAACTTTGTTACTGAGGCCAGCCTATAACTTGGAATCCTCCTGCCTCAGTCTCCCAAGGAGCAAGGGTAACAGGCGTATGCCACTGTGCCCCACAGTATCAGCGTTATCAATTTGCCTTATTTGTGCAGGCTTCTAGGACCCTCATGGGTTTCTGGCACACATGATTAAGACTTGTCAGTAGCTCATCTGAGGCTTATAGAAACAGACTATGTAATTCATGTTCTAACAGGTAGTTCCAAAAAGGAGGTAGAGGAACCAGAATGTCTGAGGCACATAACTTACTTCATCTGTGTATATTTTTTTTCTTCATACCTTTTTGCCTGGACATCTATTGCAAAAGCAAGCAGTCAGTTCTGTGGTTTTGGTGACAGGTTAAGTTAAACCTAGCAAGATAACTAATAACTAATGTCTTAGGTTACTGCTCCAGAGACTTGCTTTCTGGTTGTTATATCTGATGCTTATTTTTATGATTTTAGTGCTCAAATAAAGTGTATTAAGGAATTAATTAAGGAAGTAATTTTATAGTAACTCTGATAGGGGGATGTATTATAGAATACATTGTTTCATTATGAATGAATATTTGTAAGTCTTTTACTGTGATAATGCATGTAGCATGTGCTAGACTTCAAAAGGAACAAGTCAGACACATCAGCCTGTTTCACTGATTTATGTTTCAGAGATAATGATTTGTTAAAATGTTTTCCCAAATTTATTTTCTTTTATGTGCATTGGAAGAGTTTTAAAATGAATATGGTACATAACTGTAAAATTGTAGTAACTAGGCATAAAGTTGTAATGCTAAATTTTTTCATTAATTTTAATACTTCATTTGTTAGCAATCTTGCTTGAATGGTCTTTTTGAACAGAACTAATACAATATTTTGATGTGCCACAGGTAAATTTTTCCATAACCTTATGGAGAGAAAGGACTTTGAGACATGGCTTGATAACATTTCTGTTACGTTTCTTTCTCTGACGGACTTGCAGAAAAATGAAACTCTGGATCACCTGATTAGTCTGAGTGGGGCAGTCCAGCTCAGGCATCTCTCCAATAACCTGGAGACTCTCCTCAAGCGAGACTTCCTCAAACTCCTTCCCTTGGAGCTCAGTTTTTATTTGTTAAAATGGCTTGATCCTCAGACTTTACTCACATGCTGCCTCGTCTCTAAACAGTGGAATAAGGTGATAAGTGCCTGTACAGAGGTGTGGCAGACTGCTTGTAAAAATTTGGGCTGGCAGATAGATGATTCTGTTCAGGACGCTTTGCACTGGAAGAAGGTTTATTTGAAGGCTATTTTAAGAATGAAGCAACTGGAGGACCATGAAGCCTTTGAGACCTCATCATTAATTGGACACAGTGCCAGAGTGTATGCACTTTACTACAAAGATGGACTTCTCTGTACAGGTAAGATATGCTGGTTGTTGTTTTTGTTTATTTTATCTTAAAATACACTACTCAAGCTTGTGAGGGTCAGGTGTTGATTATGTTAGCTATCTGAAATGGCATATTCCTCCTAGCCTTTGAGTATATTGTCCACCCCTCTTTATCTTCTGTCCCTCTGTAGAAGACAGTCATTTTTATAAGGTTTAATGAAAGGAAAAAAAAAAAGCTTCAGACTTTCTTCTAAGCATAAGGTGAATGAAAAAGCTGTAGATTATCTTTTCTATATTTTTCTTCCATGTATAGTCCTCCATGTTGGTTAATTCTGTTTCTTTTACTCTAAGTGATTTGGCGGGGGGTGTGGGGTGGGGGTGGGGGGGTGGGAAAGGAGTCAGTAGGTGAAAAAATTGGTATCTAACTATTCAAGGAACAAGTCAGACACATCAGCTTGTTTCACTGATTTATGTTTCAGAGAAAATGATTTGTTAAAATGTTTTCCCAAATGTATTTTCTTTTACATGCATGGAAAAGTTTTGAAGTGAATATGGGACATTAACTGTAAAATTGTAGTAACTAAGGATAAAGTTGTAATGCTAAATTTTTTACATTAATTTTTAATACTTCATTTGTTAGCAGTCTTGCTTGAATGGTCTTTTTGAACAGAACTATTAAAATACACAGGTTAATTTTTCCAGTAGTTAGATCATTTTGGATGAATTATTTCCTTGTCAATAAAAAATATGGGAAAGGAGGATTTTCTTCCTTGTTCTAAAATCCTGTGGTTTTAAGAATTGGAAGTTGAAAGTTTGGACATAGGAATGAATTGTGTACTTTTAAACTAGGCAATTAAGTGACTTTATATAACATATGTAATCATTAAAATTTGGAACTTTGTGTATTACTGTTGGATTATAATGGGTATGTGTTTCTACAAATAGTTTTAATCTCTGCCCACATTTTAGGCAACACATTTTGACAGGCAATGTAAATAATTCTTAGGCAGTGTTTATAATCGCTCTAGGCAGTTCTTATTAATGATCCCAAGTGTATTGTATAAGGATACTTGGTGTTCTTTTTTCTAATTTCTACACACACACACACGTGTGTGAGAGTGTGTGTGTGTGTGTGTGTGTGTGTGTGTATATATATATATATATATATATATATTTTTTTTTTTTTTAAGTTGTCAGTGGGTCTTTATTTATATGCATTGCTGAGAATTGTACCCAGTGCCTCACACATGCTAGGCAAGTGTTCTACCACTGAGCCACAATCCCAGCCCTTATCCAGGATAATTTCTGACAAAACATTTGTACATTACCTAAATTATAGAGTTGTCACTTTTAATAAGTATTATGAATTGTTCCTCTGTGGAAATATATCATTATTTAGCTATTTCCATGTTAGTGTATATTCAGGGTTTTTTTTTCCTCCTATTTTTATGAGTATCTTTACATTACTTTTATTCTCCTGAATTCTTTATTTGGAACAGAAGCTGATAAGTAGAATTACCAGGTCCAGAAATCTGAATGATTTTATAGTTCTACTTAGTGACTTTGCAGATATACTGAATTGATGCCATGTACACAGCAAATTTTAAATAACTTGCCCCTCTTTTAGTCTCACCAGATACAGTTTTAACTTTAAAAAAAATTTTTTTTAGTTGTAGATGGACACAATATCTTTATTTATTTCTATGTGGTGCTGAGGATCAAACCCAGTGCCTCCCATTTGCTAGGCGAGCGCTCTACCATTGAGCCACAACCCCAGCCCATACCTTTATTTTATTTGTTTATTTTTTTATGTGGTGCTGGGGGTCAAACCCAGTGTCTCACGTGTGCCAGGCAAGCACTCTACCACTGAGCCACAGCCTCGGTCCCCTTTAACATTTTTAATAGTTAAGAGAATGTAACTTCTCAAGGTTATTTTAAAATTGCATTACCTTATGGATGTATATTTTCCCACATGGTAATGTATTCTTTGAAATGTCAGACACCTTGCCAGTTTTATAAAGTATGCATTTGATTTAAGGCAGTGGTTTGATTTGTCATTTGTAAGCATAAAGTTATTTCATGCTTACATTATTCTCCCTGTCTTATAAGCCTGATTGTTGGAGCAATATCATCTGTATCTATGTACTTTGATGTACTTTTCCAGTATGGTGATGGCTCTTCCATTTCTTTTTTGCCTCACCATTTATGGTAGGTATTTTTAAAAGATTAAAATGCAGTATTGCCTTCCACTTACATAAATGTTGACTGTTGACTCATTGTGTCACAGCCACTCCAGCTTTAGAAAACTATTCTTCTTTCATCATACTTTATTTTATTTATTTATTTTCAAAAAATATTTATTTTTTAGGTGTAGATGGACAAACACAATGCCTTTATTTTTCTTTATGTGGTGCTGAGGATCGAACCCGGGTCCCGCCTGCGCTAGGCGAGCGCTCTACTGCTGAGCCACAATCCCAGCTCCCATACTTTATTTTTTAAATGCAATAAAATAAAGTAGTAATTACTCAAAGCAGAAATCAATGGGAAACAGTTCCCTGAATTCTCTGTTGGGAAAGTTAATATCTACAATAAATACACCTAGCCCTGCTCTCCCCCACCTTCATCCCTGTGCTAGGCAAGTATACTACCATTGAGCTACATCCTTAACATCCAAACCTATATTTTAAAATTAGTTTCTTAAGTGTGCCTATATATTAATGTTATTCTTTTTTTTTCTGATTAAATTCACCAGGTTTGCATATTGAAAATTATGCTATAGCTGTTAAATAATCTAAAGCATTTTTTTTAAATAGCAGCATCCCTGGGAGTTTACTAGTGAGAGAAGTACCTGTAGCAGAATTGTATATGTGTTTATGTCATCTTGTTTCTTAAGAGCTTGCATTTTCTTTCTTTCTTTTTCTTTTTCTTTTTTTTTTTTTTTTTTTACACACGAGAGTTTATTTGTCAGAGCTGACAATAAAGGCTATCTCTCTATAGTGGAGAGAGGCAAGAGCTTGCATTTTCACTTGAATTGTGAAATCCTGAATTTGGCAATAAGTTTACAGTGACTTTTAGAGAGCAAACAATAAAGACGGTATTATAGGAGAAGAGATTTCAGAAGTGGATTAGGTTTCTAGCTTTGTATATCTGGGAAGATAATAGCACTACTAACAAAACTAGAAAATGAAGGAATGAGTTTGAGAGGGTAGATTGAATTCTGTTTGGGATGAACTGAATTCAGTTGCCCAAGGGAGTTCTCATGGTATTTGGAAATGCAGAGTCAGAGCTTTGAAGAGTACTCTGAGCTCAAGAGAAAGATTAGGAGTTCGTAACATCACAGCTATGGCTGGAGCAGTGACATTTTAAAAGGAGAGTTAGGAAAAAGACGAGCCTAGAGTGGATCCTTGTTAAGGGTGCTGAAGAGAATGAAGGAAACAGGTGTGATGAAGGGTTTCACGGCGAATGACAGCCTGTGTTGAAGAGGTGCTGGTTTTGTTTATTCAATTGGTCACTAGAGTCACATGCCTCAGAGGTGTTTCGAGAGCTGAGATCTGATTCTACCAGTTAAATATTTAAACTTGATAAGATAGTTTACTCCGTTTGGGTTACAGTTCATTTTTCTGCCTTCATTTTTTTTCTTATCATAGTACTATTTTCAGAATTGAGAGGGTTTTTTCTTTCACGAGATATAGAAGCATATACATTTATTTCATCCTCTTTCACCTCTAGGCTGCATTATTGGTGACCTCTTTCAAAAAATGTGACAGGGCAGCAAATGGGAATCCAGAGGAGAGGCCTACAATAATACCAGAAAGGAGTGGAGAACAGTGGCTCCTAAAGGTTTAACCCTTAGGAGTAATCTGAACCACTATAAAATGTAACTCAACCTGGTTTTCTTTTTTGCTTTTTAAACTTCTTTAGAGTGTAAAACCAAATGACCCATTTTTCTATAAAATTAGTTTAAATAATTAGTTGGGAAAATCCCTTAGTTTTTTTCTTCTCAAGCTGTGGCAGACACATAACAAAAGTTATCATTTTAAAGTGTACGGTTCTGTCTCAGTAAGTACTTTCACAGTATTGTGCAACCATCACCACCATCTAGCTCCAGAATTTTTTTGCATCTTGCTAAACTGAAATTGTACCAGCTAAACACTAATTGTCTATTCCTCCAGCCTATGGAACCTCCATTCTACTTTCTGTGAATTTGACTAATCTAGAAACTTCATCTAAGTGGACTCATGTAGTATTTGTTTTTTTGTGACTGACTGACTTTTTTTAGCATAATGTCTTTAAGGTTCCTCCACATTGTAACAATGTTAGAATTTTATTCCTTTTTAAGGCTGAATAATATTTCTCTGTGTGTATGGGTACACTTTAGATTTTTTTTCTCTTTCTTTCTTTCTTTTTTGTATTGGGGATTGAACCCAGGGCACTTTATCACTGAGCCACATCAGCAGATCTTTTTTATTTCTTGTTTTGAAACAGGTTTTTGCTATTTTTGAGGTTGGCCTTGAGCTTGTGATCTGTCACCTGACCCTCCCCCCTCCTTTTTTTTGTGGTGCTGGGGATAGAACCAAGAATCTCGTGCATGTGAAGCAACCCTCTACCAACTGAGCTATATTCCTCCCTTTGATTTTTTATGACCTTCTTCTTTTTTTTTTTTTTTTTTTTTTAGTACTGGGGATTGAATTCAGGGAACTGAACCACTGAGCCACAACCCCAGCATTTAAAAAAAAAATTATTTAGAGACAGGGAATCACTGAGTTGTTTAGCGCCTCGCCATTGCTGAGGCTGGCTTTGAACTCTTGATCCTCCTTTCTCAGTCTTCTGAGCCACTGGGATTACAGGTGTGCACCACTGCGCCCAGCTTTATATATAGCCTCTGGTCTTGTTCCCTGCTTCAAACTGTTTTCCACAATGCAGTCATGATTGTCTATCAGAAATGTAGATAAGGTCACAGTCGAAACATCTTTCTGACCCAGTGGTCCCACTTGACTTTGCCACTATTTCACAGGCCAAACTCTTTTTTAGAATCAGTGTCCAAATTTTAGGCAATTAATTTTGACAATTTATGTAAATAATTTTTAATTTTTAGGATGGTTCTAAATATTTCTTTATGAATTGGCCTCAATGCCTACTCACAAATATTTATGTAATATAGAAATACTTAATAATGGTCAATAGGTGTATACCTGGGGTTGGCAAACTGGACTGTGAACCATGTCCAGCAGAAAGGAGTGATTGCAATAGAGATTCTAGTTCACAAAGCTTAAAGTATTTACTATCTGGTCTTTCACAGAGAAAGCTTTACTGACCTCTGGGGTGTGTGTGTGTGTGTGTGTGTGTGTTTACATACATATATACTATTCCATTGTATATTTTATTCTTTGGTTTCATTAACTGAGTCATCGTTCAGATTTTAATTAGTAAAAACTTAGTTTTTTAAACCATGAAATCCCTTCTTCAAATATGCTAAAACCTGGCTTAAAAACCAAAGAGAAGTATAGTTGAGGAGCTGATCATGCCAGCTCCTGAGATAAGTTTGTAGAACACATGCATGTTGAGGAGCACAGTCAATCTCAGTGGAGCCTCATGTGAGACATTTTTGCTTTTTATCCCCTTATGTTTGCTGTGGACTTTGTGCTGTTTACCACTGACTGAATTGTTTTTGCTTGTTTAGCCTTTTTGTCTTCACAAGTAGATATAAGTGCCATGAGAGCAGGAGCCCTCCCTGCTCAGAAGTCCTATAAATATATATTGAATGGATAAATATAGATACAGAAATCCTATAAATATATATTGAATGGATAAATATAGATACAGAAGTCCTATAAATATATATTGAATGGATAAATGAATGAAACCCCAATTGAACAGTGGAAATAAGTTAGAACCAAGTTTATCTAGGACTAAAATGATTGCCTGCTCTAGCTCCTTTAGAATACAATTACAAAATGTCCAAGCTGAAGGAGCTTAAACACCATCTATCTAGACTCTGCTGTCCAGCATAGTGGCTACCACTTCTATTTCACTTTTGAGTTCTTGAGCTGTGGCTAGTCCAAACTGTGAAGTGAAATACCAGGATTCAAAAACTTAGAATGTAAAAAAATATAAAATATTTCATTTTTAACATATCGAGTTAGGTAAATAAATTATTTTCTTCATGTCTTTAAAAATTTTTTCTAATAGGATATATTATGTATGCAGTTTATATTATATTTCTGTTGGATAGCACTTTTCTAGACCTTTGGTTCTCAAAATGTTGCTGATAAATTAGAATCACCTGACAAACTCAAGATGATTGCACTTCATTTTAGATACTTTAAACTAAAATTCTCTGAAGATAGGGCCCTGCTTTTGTGTGTGTGTGTGTTCATTTTATCCAGTGCTGGGGATTGAACCCAAGGCCTTTTGTTTAAAGCTCTCTGGGTGGTTCTAATGTCTCAGATACTCATTGAGAACCTACTAACCAAGTCCAGCCCCACAAAAATAGCAAAGTGGCAATAAAAAATTTATAAATAGCTGGTTATTACAAGCTCTAATTTGAGTCTGAAATGGGTGGTATTCCTACCCATTTTAGTGTAACTCATAGCGTTTGCCAAAGTTAAAGTCATGGTCTCATTCTTTTCTGAGTGATGATTACTTTTCCACTGTCTAAAACAGTGGCTCTTAACTAAAGATGGAATTATGTCTGGCTTTATTTAGTTATTTCAGCTATTTTTTTTTTAAACTAGGGATTAAACCCAGGGATGCTTAAACACTGAGCCACATACCCAGCCCGTGTGTGTGTGTGTGTGTGTGTGTGTGTGTATATATATTTTTTTTAATATTCATTTTCTTTTTTTAGTTGTAGTTGGACACCATACCTTTATTTTTTGTTATTTTTATGTGGTACTGAGGATTGAACCCCGGGCTTTGAATGTGCTAGGTGAGCACTCTACTTCTGAGCCACAACCCCAGGCCCCCAGCCCTTATATTTTATTTTGAGACAGAGTCTTGCTAAGTTGCTTAGGGCTTCATTAAGTTGCTGAGGCTGGCTTTGAACTTGCAATTCTCCCACCTCTTGAGATTATAGGTGTACACTAGCATGCCTCAACTCTTTCAGAACTATTTATATAGTGCTTTCCTAGAATATGGTATCCTGATTGTAGCAACTATGGTATCTTCTCAATGTCTTTTTTTAAAAATATTTTTTAGTTATAAATGGACGTGATATCTCGATTTTGTTTATTTATTTTTATATGGTGCTGAGGATCGAACCGAGTGCCTCACAGGTGGCAAGGCAAGTGCTCCACCACTAAGCTACATTTCCAGCCCTCAGAAGGTCTTTTTGTCAAGTCTTTGACTTAAAAGTAAATTGTGAGATATGAGTTAATCATTAGAATTTTAAACTTAGAGAACAATGTTGAATTGTCATCATGATTAATGTAACATTTTCATCAGAGTCAAAAGAAAAAACTGATTTTTCCCACAGAATTTTAAAGGATTTCATAAGCTTTTTGTAGAGTTGCTGTGAATGGGGGTAATTTGTTCCTGTTTTTTTTTTTTTTTTTTTTTTTTTAATGTTCCTTTATATTTCAAGATGGCTCAGGAAATTAGCTGTTGGCTTTTGCAGAACTTAGCCCATGATCAAAGGTTTATCTTTGGCTTGTCTTTGGACTATATTCTATCAGACAGCTCTGCTATTCGTCATTCCTTATTTGTTCAGTACTGTTGTGTAGTGGACAAGCATGCAGGTGTAACATGCAGCCATAGGGAGTACCTACCCATTACAGACCCAAATTAGAGCTTGTAATAACCAAATATTTATAGATTTTTTCAAGTGAAAGCACCAAATGATACTTTAGTCCAGTACTGTAGCCTGGTAAGTTAAGGGACAGGACTAAACAAAAAGCTTAGATTCTGTCCGAGTGTGCTTGATACCATTTTAGTGACTAAGCAAGTCATGTTGCCCTCTCTATGCTTTGGTTTTCTCAACCTTAAAGTCAGAGAAGGTGATCGCTGAACGTTTGCTTTGAGAATACCATGATTTTGGGATTAATTGTCCTTTGCAGGGTGTTTTCTTTGTATTAACCTCCCTGCTTTTCTCTTGAAGGGTCAGATGACTTGTCTGCAAAGCTGTGGGATGTGAGCACAGGGCAGTGCGTTTATGGCATCCAGACCCACACTTGTGCAACGGTGAAGTTTGATGAACAGAAGCTTGTGACAGGCTCCTTTGACAACACTGTGGCCTGCTGGGAATGGAGTTCCGGAGCCAGGACCCAGCACTTCCGGGGGCACACGGGGGCGGGTGGGTTGCCCTTTTTCAAGGATTTTTATAATTATTTTAGCATCTTTCTTTGAAAGCAGGAGCCATGTATGTTGTATATATATTCTCTATTTTTATTTATATATATATATATATATATATATATATATTTTTTTTTAATTTAACCTGCTATTTTTCACTCTTCTTAGTCACTGGAGTTATTTCCTTTTATCTCAGTTTTATTCCAGATTTTATTCCTTATTTGGGACGTTTTCAATAATTTTGCTTTTTCTTGTGTCATTTAAAAATTCTTCCATGTACCCTTGTGCTAGGAGGGGTAGTTGTTCCTCTCTCCTATTTCATTTATATCCTGTTGTGCAGTCACTTTTGCTTTTATCAGATTCCATACTTCCAAACTGAGTGAGTCCTGCACTTGGAAATTCAGACCACTTTATTTATAGATTTAAGGCTGAAAATCCTTTGGAGCAATAGTGGTTCACAGATTGTGTGATCTTCACAGATTATGTCTAATTGGAGCTTGTTTGACTACCAGTGAAAGCAAGTAACCACCTAAAGATAAAAGGAATAGATGCCTGAATGCTTCTTTTTTTTTTTTTAGTTGTTGATGGATCTTTATTTTGTTTATTTATTTATACTCGGTGCTGAGAATTGAACCCAGTGCCTCACACATGCTAGGCAAGTGCTCTACCATTGAGCCACAACCCCAGCCTGTGAATGTTTCTTAATAAAGGCATACCAGACCTATTTTGCAGAAAATTGGTCTTTTGAATATAACCTGAGACTTGAGTTCCCCGTGTTACATTTTGTTTTGGAGTTTTATGTAGAAATCATATTGAGCTATTTCCTGGAGTCTTGTGGATCACCTTCCCTCTTTCTTTCCTCTATTTATGTACTGTTTTAGCTTCTCGGGGTCATAATTTATGCTCCTAAGCCTCACGTTTATGAGCATCCTTCTGGGACTCCCTAAACAGGTTGGACCCCTCTACTTGTTCCCCATAACCTGTATTACTGTCATAACACTCATCATACAAGTAAGCATAACCTTACATCCCCATCAGACCATAAGCTCCAGAGGACAGGGATCTTGCCTGTCTTGTTCACCCTTATGTTCTGAATTCCCTACACTGTTTCTGGTGCTCAGTATTCTTTAAACTAAACCTAGTTGTTTTGCTGCTAAAACCGTTTTTTTTTTTGTTTTTTTTTTTTTTTAATTTTGTTTGTTCTGTATATTTGTCTTCAATCTTTGCTATCTGCTATCACTTATTTCAGCAATTATTATTTGGGTTTATGATTTAGTATGGAATTTAGATATTAAACTGAGTGTGACATTCCACTGTGTCAAGATATACAGTGACATCCAGGTGATTTTATTCCTTATCAACTTTGAGAGCCCTGTTCTAAAAAATGTTCTACTTGCTGTTTCCTGGACGTTGCTGTGGCTTTTCTTAACTCCATGCCTTTGCTGTTCCCTCTACTTGCAATTTTCTTTTTCTTTTCTTGATAAACTCTACTCATCCTTCAGGGCCCATCTCCAATATCGCCTCTTCCCTGAAGTCCTCCCTGATAGCCCTGGGCAGAGTTAGTCATTCTCCTTGGTGTTTCCCTAGCAAGAGGTAAACTTTTATTTCTTTCTGGACTTCCTCCACTTCTCCCCACTTAGAGTTCCTTAAAGGAGGGAAATGTCTTCATCTTTGGGTCTCTAATGTCCTTTAGAGCTTGGCAGATATTTAAAAAAAATAGTACTCCCTGTGCTGCCTGAAATGATTTAGGTACTAGGTATACAACTGTGAAGAATTCATACATTGTTTTGGTGTCTTAGTCTAACCTTTGAGAGCCTTGTTTTTTTTGTTTTTTGTTTTTTTTTCCTCTTTACATTGACTTTTCTTGAGCCTGGGTACTGTTTTGCAGCTTATATTCTTTACGTTTTGTTTTATTATTATTGCAGATAATCCTAAGAAGGAATGCCATTTTCTCAATCACTGGTTTTGCTTCATGCTGAAGGTGGCACAAATATCGGAGATTATATTGTTCCCAGGACTTTCCAACTTTAGGATAATAAGCTATCTTAATAAGAAATTTGAAATAGATTTTCTTATCATAAAATTGCTGGTTGAGTAGCACCATTCTTACAGTAGCTCAGGTTAGGAAATTATGTAGTCGGGCAGCTGGGGAGAATAAACATTATTGAATGCTTGTTATAAAAGAACCATTGACAGAGAGGCGTGTTTTAACTTTATGTATTTATATGCACTAGTGTTTAGCGTGGACTACAATGATGAACTGGATATCTTGGTGAGTGGCTCTGCAGACTTCACTGTGAAAGTATGGGCTTTATCTGCTGGGACATGCCTGAACACACTTACTGGGCACACGGAATGGGTCACCAAGGTATGAAGACTTAGAAGAAATCTCCTTGTCACCAGGCTTTTTGCGGGTGGGCAATGGAGAGGATGGTAGACTCTGCCTTATAACTGGCAGATGAGTTGTAAGTGGAATAAATGCAGACACAAAGCATGGTAGTGACCCCCTGTAGAAGGCACTGGGTAAATAGTTTAACAAATAAATGACACATGGGTGTGGAAAGATGCTCACAATAAGACAGGTTCCATATAAAAGTGTATGTGGAGAATAATGCCAGTTTCTAAATGTATTTATGCACCAGAATTTTGAAGGTGTTGTTTCTGGTAGGATTGGGGTGCTTTTTGCCTTTTTTCAGATGCTCATGTTTCTCTTTTATTTATTTATTTATTTTTCATGTCTCTCTTTTAATCAGATGAGCAGCCTTCACTTTTTTTTCTCCTTCCAATTTTTGTGTTTAAAATGGGGTCATGTATCTCAATGGTGGAGTGCTTGTCTACAAGGCCCTGGGTTAATCTCCAGCACTGCAAAAAAAAAAAAAAAAAGTGGGGCCAAGTAAAGAAAAATATAGAAGATTTCAAACAAAATGTTGCGTTTTCTAATTTTCAAAACAAGATTTTTGCTAGGTCAAATACAGTATATTCTTTAAGGATATGCCATGTATAAGCACTTCTCTTGAGCTTTTTGTGAGGGGGTGAGGATACAGGAGTGAGCAGAATAGCCCTATGCATGTTGGTCTAGTATGACAAATAGTTATTAAACAGTAATTTCGCAAATAAATGCTACATAATTACAAATTCTGTTAAAGAGGAGTACAGTGTTTTATAAGAATCCCGGAAGGTATCTTATTTAATTAGTTCAGGGAAAGCTTTTGGAGAAGAGGTAAACCATGAAAAATCAATAGGTGGTAACTGTGGGAAGAGCAGGAAAAAGAGTATTTCAGGGGGTATAAGAAAGAATCTGGAACATTTGATGACCTGGAAGAAGGCCAGTGTAGCTGTTCTTCATTGAGAGAGACTCGTGGATGTAGTCATCATGTATGACTTATTAGGCCAGAGTAAAGATGGTAGATGTCAAAAGTATAATACGAAGTATTGGAAGCTCTGATCAAGGGTCTGATTTATGTTTTTAAAAAATGAGTAGACAGGCTGGGGATGTGGCTCAAGCGGTAGCGCACTCGCCTGGCATGCGTGCGGCCCGGGTTCGATCCTCAGCACCACATACAAACAAAGATGTTGTGTCTGCCAAAAACTAAAAAATAAATATTAAAAAATTCTCTCTCAAAAAATAAATAAATAAACCATATTCTTAAAAAAAAAAATGAGTAGACAACAGGGTGAATAGTTAGGCTTAGTTTAAGCAAAAGATGCTCATGACTTGGACTTGAGTGGTAATGAAGAAAGAGGGTCACACATGGAGACATGCTTTTAAGGTAAAGTCACCTAAACATACTGATTCATTGTAGGGGATGAAGAATCAGAGAACTGATAGATTTTAGATTGGATGGGTGATTATGTCTTTTTCTGAAATAGGTAGAGCTGAAGGGAGAGCAGTCTGTGAGAAGATCAATATTATATTTTGAGCAAATCACATTTATAAACAGAGAAGGTATATATTATAAGGCAACTTGGTGTAAGAGAAAACAGTAGACTTGAGTCAAAATATGCCTATGATGTCTCAAACAAGTTACTTTCACCTTCAGGAACTGAGTTTTATCATCTGCTAAGTTCCTGTGACTGTTAAATGATATGTTGGAAGTGAACCTAGCAAGGTACCTAATACTTAATAGCAGGTCCATCAGTTTCAGTTGAGTCTCCAACCCAGACTTCTGAATGAGTAAATCTTGCCTCCTGTTTCACTTCATGCTGATTTAGTTTTTTAAAAATAACTATAATGTAGTGTTTATAGATTATCCCAAGTGATAATGGGATTTTTTAAATTACAATACTACTATTACTTACATGGTTTAATTTTATGTTCACTTCAGTTATGTGAGGTAAGATTATAGGTGCCTTGGGGCTGGGATTGTGGCTCAGTGGAGAGTGCTTGCCTGACTTGCATAAGGCACTGGGTTGATCCTCAGCACCACATATAAATAAAGATATTAAGTCCACCTGAAACTAAAAAATATTAAAAGAAAAAAAGATAATAGGTACCTTGCTTTCTATTTTAAAGGTGAGGAAGGTAAGAGGTTAGATAGAATTGGTAGAGTGTTTGCTTAGCATGCATGCAACCCTGGGTTCAGTCTCTAGCATTGAAAGAAAAAAAAAAGGTTATTTGGTCTTGTCCAAGGTTACAGAGTTGAGTTTAGTATATGGCAGATTCTGGTTCCAAGTCCAGTGGTTTGTTTTTTTTAATTTTTTAATTTGTTTTAATTAGTTATACATGACATTAGGATGCACTTATATACTTTGATATATCATACATAGATGGGATACAGTTTCTCATTTTTCTGAGTATACTTATTGCAGAATCATATTGGTCATGTAGTTACATATACACATAAAGTAATGTCTTTTTTTATTTATAATGTACATATTTATGAAAACAGATCATTTACTTTTATATGTAAGGACATTTTCTGTTCCTTATGTTTTATATTATGTCACATTTTATAACTTTTAAAATTACTTAATTAATGTCTTCTTCCATACTGATTAAATGCTGCCAACATGGACACTTTTAGATACTTCTAAAAACAGAATCTAGTTGTAGCAAAAATCTTAGTATAGGTTAATTTGGTAATAGAGTTATAGTTTAGCTATTGTAGCATACCATATTTCAAGCTCATCTTCTGTTTTAAAAGTGAAATAAAATCAGTATTTTGGAGCAGCATTAAAAGGATCTTTTTGTAACATAGATGTTGATATTTGTAGGTGGTTTTGCAGAAGTGCAAAGTCAAGTCTCTCTTGCACAGCCCTGGAGACTACATTCTTTTAAGTGCAGACAAATATGAGATCAAGGTGAGTTTTTTTTACCTCTGTTAATTATCAAAGAAAAACTGGCAAATACAAGAAAATTAAAGTATTATGGCAAAGGGAGAATGTTCCAAGGGGAAGACTAAGAGTGTCTTTGTCTAAGTCATCTTAAATCCATTGGGAGAGAGGATGTTTGGTAGCTCTATGTGGTATGCAGTTTCTAACTCTTAGTTTGTCAATGAAAAAGAAACACAAAAATTTATTTTGCACCCATTCTTCCTGTTAAGACTATCTACCAGCCAGGCATGGTGGTGCACACCTGTAATCCCAGTGGCTTGGAAGACTGAGGCAGGAGGATCATGAGTTCAAAGCCAGTTTCAGCAAAAGCAAGGCACTGAGCAACTCAGTAAGACCCTGTCTCTAAATAAAATTTAAAATAAGGCTGGAGATGTGACTCGGTGATTGAGTGCCCCTGAGTTCAATCCCCCCCCACCCCCCCGCCAACAACAACAAAAAAACCTCCTGCTTTCTTCAGTTCTTTCTTAGATCTAAACTATGAAACAAGCATTCTTGTGCTATAATGATTTGTAAAGATTTTACAAAACATTCTCATATGTGATTCTTGCATCTTTTTAGTCATCTTTGTGGTAGGCATTATTTTCCTTGCAGGAGCAGAGATTCAGAGAGGTTAAATATTTTATCTAAAATCATGCAGAAGAATCAGGACTTTAATCCATGACTCTTGGCTATAAAACCTGGGTCTTTGCAGTATATTTCACTTTTTTGTATCTGACTTTAGCAAATACAAGACACTTTAAGAACAAGCTTTTTTGTGGTGATGTGATCTGTCATCTTTCCTAACTTTGTTTTCTGTAGATTTGGCCAATTGGGAGAGAAATCAACTGCAAGTGCTTAAAGACATTGTCTGTCTCTGAGGATAGAAGTATCTGCCTGCAGCCGAGACTTCATTTTGATGGCAAATACATTGTTTGTAGTTCAGCACTCGGTCTCTACCAATGGGACTTTGCCAGTTATGATATTCTCAGGTAATGTTTCCTTGGACCTTATGCTTTATCTTTGAAAATTATTTGCAGTTCAGTAATAAAGACAAGACTATATATTTTGGGGGGTGGGTACCGGAGATTGAATTCAAGGGGTATTTGACCATTGAGGCACATCTCCAGCCCTGTTTTGTATTTTATTTAGAGACTGGGTCTCACTGAATTGCTCAGTGCCTCACTTTTGCTGAGGCTGGCTTTGATCATCCTCCTGCATCAGCTTCCTGAGCTGTTGGAATTACAGGTGTGTGTCACCATGCCCAGCAACAAGACTATATTTTTGAATATACCATCAATAGCTTGCTTTATTATGAAATACTTAATATATCAGTTATACACAGGAATATAGAGTAGCTCACCTAGGCAAAATGATTTAGAGACAGTAAGTGAGCAAGAAAGGGTTATATGTGGAAACCTGAAGATCGGGGTTCTATGCCCTCCCCTACTCTAAGTCGTGAACTACTTCCACTTTTTGAATGTAACATACTTTTTTGGAAAATGCAGTGCTTGGATGAGAAGCTCTTTCAGATCTCCTTTAATTCTGGTAAGTCATACTGCATAGTAGGAATTACTGTGTGAGCCTGCTCAACCTCTGTGGGGTTTAGGCATCAAGTGGCCTTCTATTTATTAGTAGAAAGACAGCTAGCTAAAGAAAGTGTAACTAGCATGGTTTCCCTTTAAAGAAATAAACAAGAGGTCCATGGACAAATAATTTTGTGATTTCTTGCATATTATAGGTCCTCCTTGGACATTGGAAATATCTATTAGCATATAGGACTGATGGAAGCCAGTGCCATATGATAAGTGAGAGAATTTACATTAGTGATGAGACTTTGGTTTAAGAATAGGTGCAATCTCTAATTGGGGGCATGATTTTGTGTAAATATCTTGACTCCTCTGTTTTAGTTTCCTCATCTATAAAGTGAATGTTAAATGAAATGCCTGTGGTGAGGATCTAGTAGGGACCTGACAGATCTTTGTTACTAGTAACTCTGAGAAACTCTATATTGAGAAACCTGTCTGAATTTGTTTAACTTCTATACTTTACACCTAAGGTGCACACACCTATAAATAATTCACAGAAATAGTGTTTCACAGCATGATTCAGTAAATGCCAGCTTGGGAGAGTTGGAGAAAATTGAACATTCCCTTCATTGTTTTTATACATAACTGTTTGAGATCTTCTTGAATGGGATCTGTTCATACTAGCCTTCAGGACTTTGATTGACCCCAGTCTCTTTGGTCACAAAGTTACAACCTCATTTGTGTCTCTGATTCACACCATCATTTCTGACCAGTTAGATTTCAGAACTGTCAGAATAATTTCTAGAAATGATTGATGCTTGTGCTTTGTGAAGAAAAGAGTGAAAACATCTCCAAAAAACATTAGTGTAAGCTCTTCATTTTATAGATGGGAGAAACTGATGCTGAGATGTAATGGGGGTCTTGCTCTGTGTTCCACAACTTACTGTAATCCAACACTCATTCATCCTTGGCTGGCTTATTCAGTGGGCATATATATAGCATACAAGGAAGCCTAAGGCGACAAAAAGTGAGAGAATAAATTTTTGAAGGAACTCAATATTTTGAAATAAAAGAAAAAAGTTTTATGTATTCATCGCATCTTTTACAGTTTAATATTTTATTTTGAATTAAAATTTTGAGAGGAGAGAGCAAAAGTAAGGCAGAATAGAGGTATCATAATCATTTCAGTGCTTACTGTCTTTCTTTAAAGGCTTCAGTTTGATCCCAAGTCTACCTTTCTCATATATACTTTCTACTCAGAATAGTGTCTAGAGTGCCAGGGGAAAGTTCGTTGGTGTTTAGTGTTTGGATGCTCTAGCTTTAAGTAATGAACATCCAAGATTATTTGCTGATAGGAAGCTCATGGTTCACAGTTTTCTTTGAAAAGGGGACTACTTTATCTCTGCTTTTTCTCTTCCAAACACAAACCAACCTCTTTTGAAACCCTAGTACAAAACCTATTGCCTAAGTTGCTAAGATCTTGTTGGGCCACTTAAGCTTTGACGCTAATTGAAAAGGAGCAGAGCACAGATGACAGCATGTTGCTCAATAAGTGTGAGATGTGATGTAATCTCTTGAGCTAGGTTATCTCAGTACAGCATAGAGGGTTACTTAGGTTCAAAGACTTAGACTGCTAGCAGGAATGTCTGTTTACAGGTCTAATGTGATCAGAAGTAAAAGGGCCTGCAAGCTTATCATGACCTGTGTTCTATTTCTGCAACATATTTGTTTCAGTCTTTGGAATCAGCTTATCTTTTTTGTTAAGCCCTCTCTCTATAGCCCCCCTGGATTTCCATGTTTCCAGTTATACTTTTCTTTACATTAATGATGTAGTAGGCCTTACCAGAGTTTCTAGCTATTTTCCCCAGCTTCCTTTGGATCTCTTTTGTAGCAGTTTATATTTATGTTCATTGTACCATTGTTTTATTCATTAGCAAGTATTTATTGAGCAACTGCCTATGTATCACACATTTTGATGTGCACTGGGAAGCAGAAGAAATACTTAACAAATTCATGGAAATTACTGATTAGTAAGAAGGAAGACTAACATTCAGTCGCAAACTATAGGAGCTGGGGTAGTTTAGTGGTAGAGGGCTTGCTTGTCTTATCTTGCACACAGCCCACGCGCACAAACCCCTGCTCTGGGTGTGTACGCACACAAAGCTAAATACAATTTTTAAATGATTGGAATAGAAGGAACTTAATACAGGGTAATTCCCTTGAAGAAGAGATGTTTGAACTGAGCCCTAAAGGATATGTGCCTGTTGGGTCTGTTGTGAGGAGTGTTGCAGACTGAAAAACCAGTCTGTTTGAGGAATTCACCAGTGTGACTGCAGATAGGAGGATGGTAGGGAGTCATCAGAGAGTTTAAAGATTTAAGCAAGGTGGTAACAAAATCAGACTTCATTGTGAAGAGAACTTACTGAAAGGAGTTAAGCGATTTACTCTTGGGGAGCAATCAATAGAAAGCTATTGGCAATACTATAAGCTAAGATGGTGTCTTAGACTGGAACTGTGGTAATAGAGGTAGTAATGAATACATTAGAGAAAAATTCAGCAGGTAAAATCAATAAAGCTTGGTGATTGAATCTCTGATTTGAGTAAGGTGGAGAGTTAGGTGGTTGCCATGTTTCCTAGCTTGAGCACTTACTTGGGTGAATGAGTGAGCGAGGAAACGGAGAAGCAGGTTTGGCTAATAAATTCAGTTTTGCACAGTTTGTGTGTGTGTAAAGAACTTTGCCCTTTTTTTTTTTTTTAACAACTTAATCCTACTTCTAATAGCAGCTAGTATACTTTAGAGTCTCAGTAAATATTTGTGAGTGAATGAACATAATCACCAGGTAGAGAATGATGAATGAGTTACTGTGATTATATTTCATCTGAAGAACATTAATTGGAAGCTCTATTTCCCCTTTATTTGAAGTTAATCCGAGTTCCCTCCTTTCCCTGGGATCCGTCTTCATCCTATAGCCTGTTTATAAAGGCTTGCACCATAGGGATTGTTTAGTGATTGACTTTGGATGAATGCTATTCTTAAATGTAGGCATCTAAATAGTTCTGTTTTAGTAGGAGTTTCTTCTGTTTTCAGTCTAAGAAGGTGAGCTTATTTTCTGATCTGCTTTTCAAGCAGAGGACCAGCAGTACTTAACAGTTTTCTTAGTTTCATAGAAGTGTTGTCCCTATAGATATTATTACTATTGCAGAATTTTTTAAAATAAAAGATTATTAGTTTGTAAGAAAACATTTGGCTTGTGACAGAATTTGTAAAATTGAGAGTCCTTTAATATTGTCTTCCATATGAAATACCCAATTCCACTTATTCAGGAAAGAAATAATGCTCTTCCAAGGCCATCTGATAAAAGGTAGAATAATATTTAAGATAGAATTTCTTGATGTTTCCATTATATACAGTGTGGTGTTTGTGTTGAGCATGGTCTTATATTCACAGTTATATATGTTGTGCCTTCCCTGTTCCAAGGGACGAACACAATTTACTCATCTTTTCTCAGGGACCCAGTTATTATTCAGCATGTCTGACACTAAAAACACATCTATTCAGTTGAAATCATTCATTTGTGCCCTTATCCATTCATTCAGGTGTTGTACACATTGATTGGAGATGCTCAGTGCTCTCCTCATAGAAAGGTGCTGTATGTAGAAAAAAGAAGGTAGGTTCTGGAGTCAAGACAGATCTGGGCTGAAATGCTAGGTCTGCATCATATTAGCTGTGTGTAAAATGAGGATAAACCTTTACCTCACCACATTGTGTGAGGACTGTGATAACATGTTAATTGTGTCGGGTACTTGGTAAATGCTAGATAAAACATAAAGTCTCCTTCCTTCCTAATATCAAAATGAAATTTGCTTTGTGACTTTTTCTTTTGATCCTAGTTCGTCTTCTAGACCTTGTAATGTTTGGCCTTTCTCTTATACACATCCTCTGCTGTTTAGAGGTAATGATGTCCCTGCCCCATTCTTTTTCTCCATTCTCAGCTAATGTCCTTCAGGTGTTCCTTACTTGTTCTGGTTACCAGCCCTCCCAATTCTGGCTGGACTCTTGGACATACACTGGTTTAATAGTGTCCTTGTTAACACATAAGCTGAATTTCCCTCCCCCAGGAGCCCAACCATATTATAGAAGACTGGTTATATGCCCCATATCTTATAACTTTTTTTCTAGTGCCTCCAAAGAAGGAAGACATTAACTTTCTTATCAACATTTTGCTCCCACTAAGGGTGCAAATTACAGAAACTATTTTTTTTTCTCTTCTTCATTTATGTTGATGCTTAATTAGATCTCTCCCATTTTGTGCCTTTGACATTTTAGAAACTACCAGTGTGCAAAAGTTGGGGCTGCCTCACAGATTGCCCAGGTTGCTCTAACAACTTTTTAGCCTTTATTCTTAGAAGGAAACCCACTTGTTTGCTGCCTGGTGAGCAGAGTAGATCTATAGTCACTTGGCTTTAGGCTTGTTCTGTATTACAGAATCTATTATTTAGGACTTTATGAAAAAGTCTTTTTACCTAATGGTAGGAGTTGACTCTTGTCTAGTTCTAACTGGTAACTGACAAGTTGTGAATCTTTAGCCAAAGGGTGTACCTTGTCTGGGCTTTAGTTTTCATATTTTAAAAATAAGAATGTTGGAGCTGGGGTTGTGGCTCAGTGGTAGAGCTCTTGCGTAGCACGTGTGAGGTAGTTCTATCCTCAGCACCACATAAAAATAAATAAATAAAGTTAATGTGACCCTTCTGCAACGTGTGTGTGTTTATAAATATAAATGAGGATGTTAACTTAGATAATGTAAGATCTTTTGTAGCTTGGATGGATGTTTTGTGCTTTTATAAACTTTGATCAAACACTACTTTCTTACATGTTAGTTAAACTGAAAACACATAGAGCTGCATTCCCAGGCCTCTTTTTATTTTTTGAGTCAGGGGCTCGCTAAGTTGCTTAGGGATTGCTGGGGTTGGCCTTGAACTTGCAGTTCTCCTGCTGCCTCCTTAGTTGTTGGGATTACAGGGGTGCACCACTGTGTCTGGCTTCATATTTTTCTTTTTATCAGATACTTTCATTTAATTCTAAATTTACTTGAATTTTATGCTGGTTTTAAATGTCTCCAGAAAAGATTTCAGTGACATAAACAGAAGCAAAGTTACCTTCTGCTTCATGATCCCTTTCATCCTTGTAGGGTCATCAAGATTCCTGAGATAGCAAACTTGGCCTTGCTTGGCTTTGGAGATGTCTTTGCCCTGCTGTTTGACAACCGCTACTTGTACATCATGGACTTGCGGACAGAGAGCCTGATTAGCCGTTGGCCTTTGCCAGAGTACAGGAAATCAAAGAGAGGTTCGAGCTTCCTGGCAGGCGAAGCATCCTGGCTGAATGGACTGGATGGGCACAATGACACAGGCTTGGTCTTTGCTACCAGCATGCCTGACCACAGTATTCACCTGGTGTTGTGGAAGGAGCACGGCTGATGCCACAAACCACCACCACTGATTGACTTTGGGTGCCGGGGCTGCAGGTTTTGAGTGCAACCTCTGTGGCAGCCGACTGCATGAACCAAAGTTCTCACCTAATGGTATCATCACGCAGTGCACAATCATTTATCTATGTTTGCCAGGGGCCAGGGCTCAGGGTGGGGGAGGGTTTGTTTTATTGACATACAGTGCAGCATGCTAATAGGGTACACCATTGACTTCATTTGTACTTAGTTATGTTGGTCAGGATAAGAGGATGCTTTTTGGGTTCATCTTTCTTGAGTGGAATATTGGTTTTAAGAAAGTGAAATGGTTCATTAATTTGCTAATTGGTTGCCTATAAAAATCACATTCAGTCTGTTATTAAAGCTTCTTACCATAGCCTTTTTTTCTTTTGAAGTTGAAGCAAAGGTGCTATGATGCTGTTATAGCAACTTCTCTCATATGGGGCTTAGCTTTTTATAAGAGCCAGTGTTAAAAAGACCAATGAGTCCTGTGACACAAATTTTCCATCAAATACGAGTTCTACAGAAAGTCTGTCTTCCAGTGCAAATCTAATTCTATAAATTGATTGTTCACAACTCATTCTAAACCCTAGTTCTTGGCAGAGTCAAGGTTGGCCATGGTTAACATGTGAGGGAGCTCTGTAGTTTATATTCCCTGTGGAAAAAACTGGTCTCCTCCCACCTGCCTTGGTGATAGCACAAGTGACATGGAGTCACTGAATGGTGACTGAGTGTTACATAGGAGCTCTGCAGTGTCAGGCAACACTTCTCTGGTCTCTAGTTTCCTTGTCTGTGCAACCACGTGTTCAGCTAAGATTCCTTCCAGTCCTGCATCCACTGGAGTGTGCAGAAGTTGATATTGCAGTTTCATCTGATCTCTGATTTATTGTTCTCGTCATGTTGGAGATAAGTTATTAAGGAAATTGATCATATGAAAAGGATGAGTAAAAGGTGAATGTAGAAAATATGAGTTTCCACTTAGAAAACTAAGTAATTGGTGGATTTGATGATGATTGGAGTCTGGATTCTGTAGGGAGGCAGTCTTCTAACTGGGAAGGAAAGATGTCTGAATCTGACTTGGTTTCTTCCTTTGCCTCTAACTGGAACTTTGGCCTCAGGCAGATTAACTTTCCTTTCCACACCTTCATCATCTTTAAAGTAAAGCAATTGTCCTAAATTAAACAAAACCTGAGGGAGTCTCAAATGCCTGAGGGAGTCGTAGGTAACATAAGTGAATAGAATGTTCTAGGGAGGATTGTGCAGAACTCTGGAGAGTACATCTTAGGGCTCTTACTCAGCTCTTACTGTTTTGTCATTAGCTGAAATAAACTAAGTGTTGACAGGTCTGGGGTTTTTTGTTTGTAAGAACTAGAAATCTAGATTTCAAATCTAGAAGTCCTCTGATTTTTAAAATATTGGCAGCTGATTGAAGATAATTTAAGATAAGGTATTCTAAACAAAACATGTCTATGAGCTGCCAGCGTGTGTTCTCCACCCTCTCTAAAGTTAGGTAATTTTGTGGTTCATCAGTGGAAATGTTGTAACATAATTGTCATAAGCATTAGAGAGAAAGTAGAGGGAGCAGCAGTGGAAGTGTTTCCCTGTGTTACTAGGAGAGTGAGGGGGTGGTATATTTCTTTTGCAGACCTGACAGGATGATAGTTTGAAGATGAACATAAGAATTGGAACCTCATTTAAAGCCTCTGCCTAGCAATATGGCTTATTCCTTCTTGCTACCTCCCACATAGAGCATATCATTTGCCAGCTGGAGAAAAGGGTTGCTGGCAGATCTGAGAATGCAAATATATAGATTGGGAACCCATTTCTTCCCCAGTCTGCATTAGCATAGATCAAGACAGTGGACTTCAGAATGTTGTGTAGTTAGTAGAGACTCATAGTTGATTTCAAGGACTGGTTTAGTGTCAGTGACCATGTTGAAACACCAAGGGGATTAGGCAAAAGAGTAATATCCATGTTTAATCCATGTCACATTTGAGTTCTGTGTACAAACTCTGCTTTGTCCTAGAAATGGAACCAGAATTGTAGCTGGAATCTTTTGCAGAAGCCCATGGAGACTTTGGACAATAAGGGTGAATCACTTTTTCATTTCCAACCAGCCTGAATAAATAATTGAGATTACTGGTCTAATGACCATCACTACCCTCCACCTCATTTTCAGATTCATCCAATAGCTTCATTTGTGAGAAAAGTTTTATTAAAAACGACTGGTGTGAAACTTCACTCTGTGTCCCTTTTCAGTCTTTAGTGGAATGGAAGTTATTGTCAAGGTGGCGCTGCTCAATTTTGACAGCAGTAGTTGAAGTCCAACTTTGATTCTTCCCCGCACAGGCCTTTCTTTCACTTGAGCATTTTACTTAATTGCTTTATAGATGCTGAATCTATGCATATGATTGCCAGCTTTTGTAAAAAGTGAATGGTAAGCTGGGCATAGTGGTGGATGCCAATAATCTCGGGGACCTGGGAAGCTGAGGTAGGAGGTTCACAAATTTAAGGCCAACCTGGGCAACTTAGTGAGACCCTGTCTCAAAAAAAAAGAAAAAGAAAATGGAAGGTAACTCATCCTTTTTACAAAATAAAGCAAGGCATAGTCAGAGAAAGGAACAGGCAGGGAATAACTAAAGCTAAGCTGTACTTCCTTAGTCTCCTTTCTTTTGTCTTTTGCGCATAGTGACTTCCGCTTTTTTAGCCTAGAGGCAAGGAAATGACCTTGGCCTCATCTGTGAATATTTTAATTTCTGAAAAATTTTAAGTTATAGCCCCATCCTTTTTTTATGATGATTGAATTTCTTGGGTGACACTGGCATGGCAGAAGCAAGGGGCATCTCTTCTCTCAGGTTCATAGAGGGTACAGCAACTTCAGTCTCCAAAGGAGGACAGAATGCTGGAGAGCTGAGTGGGTGTGAGGTGGTTAGTAGACTTTGTTCCCACTTCACTGAAAGGTAGTTTCCTCTGACTCTATTATTTGAAGTGATAAGTATTGTAAAATACGACCCTAACCTGACCCTTTAGACCTATTAGAGAAATAGGAAGAAAGACCCTCCAGTGGAAGGACTGGAGGTTGAGAAAGTTCCAAAGGAAGATACATGTATTTGTATAGGTTTTCAAAAATGAGACATGGGGAGCATTACTATTGAAATCTGAGGACTGGACTTAATTTTTCATAGTTTGAAAATTCTTCCATTCTGGCAATTGAAATGATTGGTAAAGTTTGAAGATTATATTTTCATTCTGGTATTGCTAACAGGAGGTTGCTTACTAGTATGCTTTTGTAAAATAAGGAGGAAAGAAAATACTTTTGGAAACAGTATTATTTTACACATGAAGAAATTATATCATTTAGGTTAGGCATTTTGACCTTACAGAAGCAGCTAAGGATGGTGGAGCCTGGATGGCCGGTATTGCTTTAGGCCAAAGCCAGCTGACTCACTGAAGGTGTGATTGTGTGTCCTGGTTCCTTGGAAGCCTGGGATGAATCTTCCCACCATCACTCTTACAGTTTTCTGTGCCTCTTCCTCTAGGCCTTGGTGTATGAGCCACTTGCCTTTTTCTGCAGGAAAGTGAGAGAATCTGATTGCTACTCACAGATGCAATCTTGGGTAGGGCACACTGATCTCTTTGCCTTTAGGGACACAGAGTTGTAAGGGTAGGAGAGAAGCTCTTTAGGTCTGTCCCCTTGACACAGCTTCCCTACCTGTTTATGCTGCTGCTTTCGCCAAAATGATTGGGACAACTGAGACACTGTTGAGAATTACACAGTCACAGAGTATCTGATGAGAAGAATACGTTAACCTTGAAAAAATGCTTACTGGCCATCTTTGGCAGTGTCTCTGAACAGAGGCTTCCTGTGCCTGTACTAGGAGAGTGTAATCTTTCCAGAATAAATACTTTAGTGCATTTCTGGATAGTCTTTGCACCATTCCTATCAGCCTCACCAGGCTAAATGATCATGCCCAGTGCAAAAAGGCGTTTTGCTGTCAAGTGGTTTCAGTGTGTTTCCAGTCTTCCCCAGAGCCAGTTCAGTTGCTTTGTTAGTATTTCAGCCCTGGCCAGCATAAACTTAATTATTGCAGCATATGGATTCCAGCTACTTTTACTCATGAATATGTCCAAATAAAAATCTTTTTTCATATTCAAACCCAGGAAATAATTCAGAAGACAAATGTTTTGGTGTCCTTATACTCACATAGTGAACAGACAGATGTATTTCACTAATTGAGATGCAGTACTCTTAATGAGAGTGCTCACAATCCAACACTTAGAGCAACTTGCATCTCACTAATTTCTGATGTATGTTGTGATCTAGAGGGAATGAAGTGAAGTTTATATTTTAACTGTGTGGGGTGGGGGTAAGAAGAGGTTGCTTAAGCAAATAGTGGAGTGATTTGTGAAATAAGATGAGAAGTTATTTTCATGCATCATAGAATCATTCTTTTACCCATGAGTGATTGTGCTAACTATAAATCATTTATATCTATACGTGAAAGCAGATTTCCTCAATTAGGCAACATTTGGTTATCCAAGCCCAAGTTATTGTTTGTACTTGAAAGTAATAAAGCTGCATTTCTTTACACACTTGTTCTGTAGTTAAGACTTTTTCTTGTTTTGTTTTTTTTCCAACCAATTTGGACTCCACCCCACCCCCCCCTTCCACTAGTTCACAGTGAGTGTGTTTGGGCTTAGTTGTAGAATACTTGGCTATCGTGAGAGAGGCTGTGAGTTTGACCATCCCCAAAAGGCAAAAAAAAAAGTTTAAAATGTGCATCCTGTGACCTAAAGAGACTCTGTTCTCCTTTTTCCTGCATGTTGTAGAGTATAATAAGCTCAACAATATAGCAGTTTCTCAAGGAGATGCAAGAGGGAAAAAGAGTAAATTTAAAAGCAAAATTTCAAGGAGGAATTTTGGCACCCTTCACAAATTGATGCAAATGGAGGGAAAACTACCATTTTGCAGGTTTTAGACCTTGAGCTTTTCTCCTTTTGCCCTCTTCTACCCAGCATGTTCTAAGGTGGGTTTATTCTTAATATATAGGGCTCCCTGTCATTTGCTTAGCATGGTTCTGAACCTTTGATCTCCAACAGCTTCATTATAGGACAGATTGTTATTTCTGTTCTGTTGATAAGAAAACTAAGGCATGGGAAAGTAATTGTCTAGAGGAGTAATGGGGTAGTGATTTTGAAGTCCTGAATTTCAGCTTCCACAGACCTGGAGTTTTCCTGCCTTCTTTTCTATTTCTTCCCCACAGTAAGTCTCTTGAAACCTAGATGGCTGCCTTCCCCTTCACCACCCATGTGCACCTTTGAAGTTGCCTTATGATCTGCTTGCAAGGTTCTCCCCAAACATTCCTCTGAGCACAGGGCTGTGATTACCAGCAGGACATGTCTAGATTCCTTAACCTAGCTTAATGGGAGCCCAGCTAATCTCTTCCTGAAAACAGTACTTGCTCTCTGGATTTCCTTGCTCTTGTACTTTGGACCTTATTCTCCCCTTCCTACTGGGAAGTTCTCCATGTTACTTCCCACCAGTCCTAGGCCCAGGTCTTAGAGTCCCATTGGCTCTCACTGTCTTCAAAGTATCTGCTGACCACCTGACCAAACATTATTGTCTAGGGTAATTAGTTGTGCAGTTCATTTGGCAGTGAATCTTATGGTACCATTCATACTTGACAAACTGAACTTTTCACTCTTGATCCGTTAAGTTTTCAAAATTTAGGTGAATATGCTGTCTGTCCAAAAACATTTTAAGATTGATAGTAGGGACTCTATAATGCCCAATAAGTTGTTGATAGTTTAATAATAATTTTAAGTGATAAATGTGAACTAAATTTATGGGATTCTCAAGACATTGGAAATTCAGAATAAAATGTCACAAGCAAAATGAAAGACCAATTCCACACGACTCCTGTTCTCCCAGACTTCCTTGTTCTGCCTCATCCAGTCAATGTCCAAAGCATACTGTGTGTAGTTGGACAGAGTATTTTCTCATGCTGTGATTAAACATGAATAATCCTTGCCAGTGGGATGTTCCTGTCCTTAATGTTTTAACCACATGTTCTCTCTTCTCTTTGTGGTAAAGATAATCTAATAGCTGCTTCATCATTACAATTTTTTTTTAATTTTTTATTGTTGGTTGTTCAAAACATTACATAGTTCTTGACATATCATATTTCACACTTTGATTAAAGTGGGTTATGAACTCCCATTTTTACCCCGTATACAGATTGCAGAATCACATCAGTTACACATCCATTGATTTACATGTTGCCATACTAGTGTCTGTTGTATTCTGCTGCCTTTCCTATCCTCTACTATCCCCCCTCCCCTCCCCTCCCCTCCCCTCTTCTCTCTCTACCCCCTCTACTGTCATTCATTTCTCCCCCTTGTATTATTTTTCCCTTTCCCCTCACTTCCTCTTGTATGTACTTTTGTATAACCCTGAGGGTCTCCTTCCATTTCCATGCAATTTCCCTTCTCTCTCCCTTTCCCTCCCACCTCTCATCCCTGTTTAATGTTAATCTTCTTCTCCTGCTCTTCGTCCCTACTCTGTTCTTAGTTACTCTCCTTATATCAAAGAAGACATTTGGCATTTGTTTTTTAGGGATTGGCTAGCTTCACTTAGCATAATCTGCTCTAATGCCATCCATTTCCCTGTAAATTCTATAATTTTGTCATTTTTTAATGCAGAGTAATACTCCATTGTGTATAAATGCCACATTTTTTTTTATCCATTCATCTATTGAAGGGCATCTAGGTTGGTTCCACAGTCTTGCTATTGTGAATTGTGCTGCTATGAACATCGATGTAGCAGTGTCCCTGTAGCATGCTCTTTTTAGGTCTTTAGGGAATAGACCGAGAAGGGGAATAGCTGGGTCAAATGGTGGTTCCATTCCCAGCTTTCCAAGAAATCTCCATACTGCTTTCCAAATTGGCTGCACCAATTTGCAGTCCCACCAGCAATGTACAAGTGATCATTACAATTTTTAATACTATCTTTTTTAATCTTAATGCACATGTGTAGATTTATATTACTGCACATCATTGTTTTGTAGTATGCTGTCAAAAATGTGCTTTAAGTCTTTACAGTTACATACTACTTAGCAATATGTTCTTTTAGTACTGTAATTTGTTTAACTATTCCTGTTTTGGTGGATAATTAGGTAGTTTCCGGTTTTGCTGTAGCAAAAATTTCTTTGTATTTTGTTAGAACAAGTTTCCAGTAGATTTGTTGATAAAAGCAAAGGAAAAAAAATTTATGTTACAGATAGGTGAGTGAATAAAGTAGTTTTATCAAATAGGTACAAAGTGAACATCTGTCTATCCACTGCCCAATTCAAGGAAAAAAAAAAAAACATTTCTGGTGCCCAGGAAACCTCTTTGTGAAGGAAGGGACACTCTGGCCTTTGCTTTATGTTTAGCCTGTAGCTTTCCAAGTGAGAAATTGATGTATGTTGCCACAATGCTGGATCAGTGTTATGTTTTTACAACATTAGTTCTGAGTGGTAATTTTACTTTTTTTTTTTTGAGCCTAGGGCACTCTACCACTGAGCTACATCTCCATTCTGTTTCCATTTTATTTTGAGACAGGATCTCATTAAGTTACTCAGGCTTACCTTGAATTTGTGATTCTCCTGCCTCGGCCTCCTGAGTAGCTGGAATTACAAATGTGTGCCATCACATCTGGCTAATGGACATTTCTTTAACATGTGAATGTGTGCTTTTTTTTTAATGCGTGCTTATTTGAATTTCTCATCCACATATCCAGGGCTTTTATGGGAACCACAGGGTACCTCTGTTTTTTCTTTCTTTTTAGATGTATAGTGACAATTTTTGTGTCAATTTTATTGAGGTACAATTAACATACAGTAAGTTTTGCCAATTATTTTTTTGTGTGTATGTGGTGCTGGGGATTGAACTCAGGGCCTTGTGCATGCAAGGCAAGCACTCTACCAACTGAGCTATATCCCCAGCACCCCTCTGGTTTTTAAACCTGGGCTCTCTACTCAGTGACAGGCACCTTCCAAGATAACAAATGTAGACATAGCAGGGCCTTGCAGTCAAGTATCTGGAACTCATCCCTTCTATCATGTCCTCTGGGTCAAAGCAAGCCAAGACAACATTCCAGAATCAAGATTTCTACCTTTTAATAGGAGAAGCTGTAAAATATTATGGCCCAGCTTTTCAATCTACCACATTGCTATAAAGCAGCTTTCCTAGTTTGTAAGTAGCAGAAAAGTTACAGGAATCATCCACCAGTGTCCAGCCCAGTACTTAACGCCTGGCAAGCTCTCACTGTTGGTTCAGTAAATGAATGAAGGTCATCAGTGATACTATTCTTTGACCTTGTACAGGTTCTTTAGAAATATTGGCTTGTGCTGCCCCCTAGAGGAACCTGAGGATTGGTGTGTTTACCCTGGGGCCTGGAATGTTCTTAGAGGTGGAACTGTAGGGTTATGGCAGTGGGTCCTGCCATTTAGCATAGGGTATGAGTTATATTCCTGGGCTCCATCTAAACAGATCCATTGAGTCTTAGGTCTTAGGCTCTGATAGTGGATGCTGCAGGGTGAGGCTACAGCACTGGAACAGGAATCTATGTTCAGGTGGTGAGACTTGTCAGAACAGAGCTCTGCCTCTTTCTGTCTGTAACCTTGGGACATCCACTTAATATCTGTTATTCTCAGTTCTCTCGTTTGTTAAATGGGGTTAATGATATCTACCTCATAGGGTTGTTGAGATTAGAAATAGTTACAGTGCTTAACAGACTGTAACTCAGGAAGTGGGTGGTTAATGTTGTATAATAGACAAAGGTCTTTGAAAATGTGTAGTAGATGTTCAACAAACATTAAAAGAATTTAGAAACTTAAACACCATAAGAACAAGAAGCATAGCTTCACCACTGGTTTCCAAGATCTAGTGTTTAAAAAAATGAGGTATATTAGGTGCTCAACAGATTATATATATTTTTGGTACCAGGGATTGAACCCAGGGTCACTTAACCACAAAGTCACATCCACAACCTTTTTTATATTTTATTAGAGACAGAGTCTCACTGAGTTTCTTAGGGCCTCATTGATTTGCTGAGACTGGCTTTGAACTTGTGATCTTCCTGCCTTAGCCTCCCAAGTTGCTGGGATTATAAGCGTGTGCCATCACATCTGGCTCTAACAAATATATATATATTTTCATATTTTTTTAGTTATACATGGACACAATATCTTTATTTTGTTTATTTATTTTTATGTGGTATTGAAGATCAAACCCAGTGCCTCATATGTGCAAAGCAAGCACTCTACCACTGAGCCACAACCCCAGCCCGTCTAACAAGTATTTTTTGAAAGAGTAAATGAAGTGCTCAAATCCTGCCTCTATCCATATGGGTATTATCCCAGTGGATATTTCATTATCAATACTGGTTGTACATTACTGATAGTATAAGAAATTTGGTGTGTGTGGCATGTATACACGTGTACACATGTGTGTTATTTTTATACAAGTGTCTTCTCAGGACTTGTAGACACTTTGTTTTGTGTCCACCTCAACACTGACTAAGCTGCCAGGAAGCAAGTAGTTTTTAGAAT